AAGCGCTAAATACATGCCACTTGAATTTATAAAATGTAGTTCTCTATGATGGTTGGCTTTTTGTTTCATGGGAATTGAACATACTAATAGCAAGACTGCATATATCTTACAAAAACATGAGACTAATGTTAGAAAATTACGATAAAACCATTAAATCTGTATTTCTAACAAAGATAGTGTAATTCCAATAATAGTCAGAAAGTCTAATGCCTGTTTAACAATTATCATTTATGCATCTGGTACCTTTAGTGTTATAAATAAGCTTCAAGATAGAACATTTCCTTAATTAATTTGGCTGATTAAACTACATGAATCTAATGTGTTTGTGATTTGCCTATTTTTATAATAGTCAGAACAGTATTAGGAAGTCCCAGCATATATTTGAGTAACAAGTTTTAGATTGACTGACTTGGAATTAGCATAGACTAGATTGTTGTTTTTGTTTTTTTGTGTCATAACTGTGACTGGCTCTGTTTTACAACTAAGTTAGAACTATTGTCAAGCAGCAGGTTGCAGAGGAAAACATAGAAACAAACAGTTTAACAAACCGCAAAGATGGAAAAACAAACTGTTTTCTTTTTTTAATGCAAAATCAAGACAGGAGAAACATTTTTTTTCTGTTACTGCTGATGTCTTTAATAGCCAGGAAACAGACTTATAGCAAGTATCTTGGACAAATTTGACCATATATTGTTCAATACATCAACCAAATGTGGACTAAAAAATGAATTATTAAACTGGAAACAGAACAGTAAGATATGCAAATATAAAAATAAATTTTTTATCACTATGAGGTATAATATGATAAAAGATAATTCACAATCAGTTTATTATAAGTAACTAAATCAAAATGTGTTTATTTTATGTACAACAGTGTTTTAAGCCTTTAGAAATGGTTTCTCATGGGATTGACAAATACCTCTCTAGGGTGTTGGTCAGGGTCATGCTAACTTAAAAAAAAATCTAGCAACAAGTTGGAAACTCGACCAAATTGCAGGTATCTGGATAAACTTAAATTCTTACCTGGTCGACATTCTCTGCGCCAGACGTGACATTTTTGATACCAACTATTACAGTAACAGCCATTCAAAATGGCCCTTCCCAATCAAAGGCCAGCTGAATGGCAGCCCACTTCCCTCCAACTCCCAGTGAAATCCCCTCTCACTTCCAGGCACTGGAGTGACCCCTTCTTGCATATTTTTTTACTCTGACTCCACCCTTTCAATGAATTACAGGGTCTGACCAGGAGATGATGCCTCTCTTTAGATCTTAATGTCCGAAAATCATGACAGAAAAAATATTTTAGTACAAATATTGATGTTTAAAAAGGAATTGCAGGGGACTACCCAAGGACTTGTCAGAGACCATCAAGGAAAGTGGGGAAATTTTGCATGGCTACTACTGTATGTCAAAGAAAAATTATAAATGATTTTAAAAATTGCTGCAAGCCAAACCGAATATGCTACTAATTGTGTTAAAATAAATATGCAGATATATAAAGATTTACATTGTATGTAAAATCAACTTATTATTTTCTCTCCTTAGTATGAGGGTTTTATACTTATATTTATTTAATAACACATTTATATTGTCAAATTACTTCTTAAATAGATGTGTAAGGTATCAATAAGAGCCTAACTCAGTGTTTCACGAACCAACACACACAGACATCAAGGTGTGTCTACTTTGTAAGTTGCTTTGGATAAAAGCGTCTGCTAAATGCATAGACATAAAGGGCCTCAGCTGTGACATTGATTGTGTTAAGTTTTACCAGAATTACAGAAACAGAAAAATTTATATTTCTCAAGGTTACCCAGTGTTGCAAAGTTTTATTTTTTCCCTACAAAATACATTTTGCATTTAAAGGACAGACTGGAGAGATAAAAAATCCAACTTGCTTGAAGTCAAGCTTAATGTCAATGCAGTACATTATTTTGTTTTCAGGATATAATCATCAGAGCTATACTGTAGATTTTCCAAGACTGTCAGAATGACATCTAGATTTACTGTCATTTATGTAAGACAGGATAAACACTTTAAAAGAAGACACACCTAACTATTCTTTATACGGCTATTATGTCGTTAGTCCAAGGCTGTCGTCATATCTGAGAAATTATAAGAAGGCTAATAGAAAATATTTTGAACAGCCTTTCCTAAGAATAGAGTTACTGCTATTCATTAAAGGCTTGATTAACACTTTATTGTTCTTGTACTTCTTGTACTTCTCTAAGTCATTGCCCTTTGTGCCGCAGGCAAAAGGGCAATGACTTAGTACTTTCAGCAGACACAGCTATAATTTTAAAAGTTCATCATTCATGAACACAAAGTTCGGCTGACAAAATGGGATGAAGGGATGGAAAAGAAAATTAAATATAAGTGAAACTTATTAAAACATTCAAAGTTTATCCAAGTAAGATTTCTTTAAGATTGGACTGTTTTTATCCATTTATAATGTGTGAGTTTCTAGGTCCAGTAATCAAGTTGAGAATCAGTGAATCATGTGTTATAAAAATAAGTATAAATATATTTGTGTCTTTTTGTTATTTGCTATCCAAGTTTATAATTTTCTACAATTTTTTTTTTATTCCAAGAGTTTGGTCCACATGGAATTCAGCTCTGATAACATAGGCAGTCTAGTTTTAATTGTAATTGTTATCAAAATTGGCTGTAGCTTTGTTGACTTGTTTATCAATTAAGGAAAGGCACTACTGACAGAAGAAGAACAACAGAAGAAGTCTCTCAGATACAGATAATAGTTTGACAAAGAGGTACCTGCACCAAGACTTACTCAACTTTTTTAATGTCAAAATACTTTTATTTGATAAAATATCATGGATAGACTTAATAGTTAAATCAAATCAGTGGTTAAATATATATATATATATATATATATATATATATATGTAATGTAAATATGTAAAAAAGTGTTTAACCAGCTGTTAGAGCTTTAAGGGTGCATTTATGTGCAGACGGACAAACACATACAAGAAACTAATTATTTCAAACATGCAGCTTTATTGTCTTTGACGTCAAACTAATCCAGTAATTAAAGGGTGGACATTGCTTGCAAGCAGGAAACAGTCTGCATACTGCAGGTGTCACTCCAAGGGTGTGACTTCATAATTCTTCCCTTTTCATTGAATCATACTAACAAATATTTCAGGAGCTCTCCTTTACATAAGAAAACATTGTCAACGAATGGATACTCATCTAATATTCCACTTATATTGCACTTAAAGTTTGTTCAATATTAGATGAGTAGAAAGAAAATCTATTAGAAAGAGAACATATCAGTGAGTTTTCCTTTGCTCTTACAGTTGAAAAAATACAAAAGATGTATTCCTCTAAAAAGTATTAAGTTATAAAAAAAAAATAATACATGCACTTAATGAGAAAAGTCTAACAATATTTTCCAAAGAGAAAATGAGATTGAAATTGAGAGAATTCTAGCCCTGATACAAGTGAGCTTAATGCATATTTTATTTTAAAGGATTTTTGAACATCGACTGTGATCGGTTTATCCTCAATTAACAAAACATTATAACAAAACATTAAAAAGTAGCCCATGTGAAGGTTTGTAAGATTTAAGGTTCACCTGGTCTTTTTATAATAAAGTCTTATTTAAGACTATGATGCTATTCAAGCATCAAAGTCATTATTTCTGCTTATTTATAAATACATATTTCCTGTAAGGCCAAATATCAAAGAGTCACACAGAGACAAATTTTTCTTTTGCTATATTTAATAAATTACATATGTTATGAAGTTTTTCTTCATCATAAGATATCTTAATATTGTAAGCTGCATGAAACTGATAAACTAACAAAAATAAAATAAAAAAATATTTTTTTGTTATTGCAAATCTGTGTTTGAAAGTACACTAACACTTAATCTATATATTTCACCTTTTTTTGTATTAAATTGTAGACTTGCCTGACTAAACTGAAAGAAAACATGAACTTAAGTCACGTTCTTATATCCAAAAGCCAAAGAAATGCTGGTCAACCAGTCTTGAGCAGATCAGACAAAAATGTTCAGCTGGTAGCCACACCTGAGATAAAGCACTATTTACTTAATTGCGGACTATTTTTCACCTTAACATGCACCTGACGTCACAGTACCTGCTCTTGATGCATATAAAGGCTGTGCTTCAACAGTGAATAGTACCAATTACCCAGCAAACTGATAGGATCAAGAAGCATCATAACTTCTGTTACAGGAGTGAAGAAAACTTATTACACAGGACTTGTAGGTGATGTATTTCAACTGATAAAAAAAAAATTCTATCTATATATATGTATATCTGTATCTCTCGCTCTGTCTATATATATATATATATATATATATATATATTAGAAGTGTTTTAAGAAAAATGGAAATAATCTTTGGGGCTCTGACTGTCTATGATGCTTGATGAACAGTTTAAGTCGAATAAGTGAATTAATATAATCTTTTTCATTTATGTCAGCCTATGGTGAGTTCTTTGTTATAAGTACAATAAAACTGTGATGTTTCTAAGTAATGCCAATCTATTTTTTTTTTTTGATTAGATAACAACAGACACAAATTTGTTTTGTTTTTTGTTAGCAAAATATCTTTGGATGACATTTAGTTGAAAGGATGATAAACAAATACACAAGGCAGAAGTTAAATAAATTCATACTCTACATATGGGTCATATGGATTCGGGAAATAATTTTTCTAATTTTCTTTAACACAGAAATCAAAATAAGGAACAACAATGAAGATTTTCTGGATACTACTTCTTATAACTGGTAAGTTGTACACAACTGAAACTATGATGTGGCGATGATTATCACACTATGAATATATATACATTTAATTTATACTAATAATACATATAATAATTATACATTCAAATCTATGTATAACCAAAGTCGAGATGATGAGCAACGCTGCTCCAACAACAACCACTGTTGCTCCAACAACAACCACTGTTGCTCCAACAACAACCACAGCTGCTTTAACCACCACCACAGCCACTCCATCGACCACCACAGCGACTCCAACCACCACCACCACAGCTGCTCCAACTACTACCACAGCTGCTCCAACCACAACCACAGCAGCTCCAACAACAACCACAGCAGCTCCAACAACAACTACAGCAGCTCCAACAACAACCACAGCTGCTCCAACAACCACACCAGCTGCTCCAACAACTACCACAGGTTCTCCAACAACAACCACTGCTGCTCAGACAACTACCACAGCTGCTCCAACAACCACCACAGCTGCTCCAACTACCACCACAGCTGCTCCAACAACAACCACAGCTGCTCCAACAACCACCACAGCTGCTCCAACTACCACCACAGCTGCTCCAACAACAACCACTGCTGCTCCAACCACCACCACTGCTGCTCCAACTACCACCACAGCTGCTCCAACAACAACCACTGCTGCTCCAACCACCACCACAGCTGCTCCAACAACCACAGATGCTACTCCAACAACTACAACAGCTGCTCCAACAACTACCAAAGCTGCACCAACTACCACAACAGCTGCTACAACAACAACTGCCGCTGCTCCAACAACAACCACTGCTGCTCCAACTACCACCACAGCTGCTCCAACAACAACCACTGCTGCTCCAACCACCACCACAGCTGCTCCAACTACCACCACAGCTGCTCCAACAACCACCACAGCTGTTCCAACAACAACCACAGCAGCTCCAACAACCACAACAGCTGCTGCAACAACTACCACAGCTGCTCCAACAACAACCACAGCTGCTCCAACAACAACCACAGCTGCTCCAACAACAACCACAGCTGCTCCAACTACCACCACAGCTGCTCCAACAACAGCCACAGCAGCTCCAACAACCACACCAGCTGCTGCAACAACTACCACAGCTGCTCCAACAACCACAGCTGCTCCAACAACTACCACAGCTGCTCCAACAACAACCACTGCTGCTCCAACTACCACCACAGCTGCTCCAACAACTACCACGGCTGCTCGGACAACTACCACAGCTGCTCCAACTACCACCACAGCTGCTCCGACAACAACCACTGCTGCTGCAACCACCACCACTGCTGCTCCAACTACCACCACAGCTGCTCCAACAACAACCACTGCTGCTCCAACCACCACCACAGCTGCTCCAACAACCACCACAGCTGCTCCAACTACCACCACAGCTGCTCCGACAACAACCACTGCTGCTGCAACCACCACCACTGCTGCTCCAACTACCACCACAGCTGCTCCAACAACAACCACTGCTGCTCCAACCACCACCACAGCTGCTCCAACAACCACCACAGCTGCTCCAACTACCACCACAGCTGCTCCAACAACAACCACTGCTGCTCCAACCACCACCACTGCTGCTCCAACAACCACAACAGCTACTCCAACAACTACAACAGCTGCTCCAACAACTACCGCCGCTGCTCCAACAACAACCACCGCTGCTCCAACCACCACCACAGCTGCTCCAACAACAACCACTGCTCAAACCACCACCACAGCTGCTCCAACTACCACCACAGCTGCTCCAACAACCACCACAGCTGCTCCAACAACAACCACAGCAGCTCCAACAACCACAACAGCTGCTGCAACAACTATCACAGCTGCTCCAACAACAACCACAGCTGCTCCAACAACTACCACAGCTGCTCCAACTACCACCACAGCTGCTCCAACAACAACCACAGCAGCTCCAACAACCACACCAGCTGCTGCAACAACTACCACAGCTGCTCCAACAACATCACAGTGCTCCAAAATTCCCACCAAAAGCTGCTCCCAAAAAAACACAGCCCGCCCCAAAAACCACCACAAGGGTGCTCCAACAACAAACCGCGCTGCTCCCAAAAAAAAACCACCCCTGCCCCCAACCCCACCACAGTGCTCCAAAAAACAACCACTGCTCAAACCAACCCTACAGTGTCCAATACCAACCCGTGCTCCCAAAAAACAACCAGCAGCTCCAACAACCAAAACAGTGCCCCCGCAAAAAATAATTTACCGCTGCTTTCCAACTTTTCCCCCACAGCTGCCCCCCAAAACTACCCAGCTTTTCCAATACCCCACAGCCCGCTCCAACCCAAAAACCACTGCTCAAAAACCAACCCCCACAGCTGCTCCAAAAATAACCAAAAAAGCTGCTCCAACAACAACCACTGCTGCTCCAAACACCCCAAAAAAAAGCTGTTTAAAAAAACCCTTACAGCCCGCTACCAAACCCAAACCCCAAAAGGTTTCCCCAAAAAACCACGCCCCGCTCCAACAACCAAAAGCTGCTGCCAAAAATACCAAAAGTGCCCCCACCAACAACCAAAAGCTGCCTCCAAAAACTACCCCAGCTGCTCCAACCCACCCCCCAAGCTGATCCCAACAAACAACCAAAAGCAGCTCCCAAAAACCACACCAGGGCTGCAAAAACTACCCCCGCTGCTCCAAAAAACTACCCCAGCTGCCCCCCAAAAAACAACCAATTTTGTCAGAAAATACCCCAAACTGTCCAACCCCCCCAGTCCACCAAAATAACTCCCAGCTGCTCCCAAATACCACCACATGTCTCAAAAAACAACCCCCCTTTTCTGGGTCCCAAACCCCCAACCACTGCGGCCCCAAAATACCACCACAGCTGCTCCAACAAAAAACCACTTTTGCTTCCCAAACCAATACAGCGCTCGAAACCCCCCAGCTGCTCCAAATACCCCCACAGTGCTCCAACAAAAACCCCTGTCATAACCACCCCACTGTTTCTTCCCCAAAAACCACCCCCAAAACTGCTCAAAAACCCAAAAAAAAACTGCTCAGACCAACTACCCCAAACTGCTCCAAAATACCAACCCAAAATGCTCCAACAACTACCCCCAGCTGTCCCAAAAAACCCCCACAGCTGCTCCCAAAAAACAACCACTGCTGCTCCCAAAACCCCACTGCTGCTCAAATACCAACACCTGCTACCAACCCCCATACAGCTGCCCCCAAAAACACAACAGTGCTCCCACTCCACCACAGTGCTCCCAAAAACAACCACTTTCCCGCTCCAAACCCCACCCCTGTTTCTCCAACTACCACTACCCGTGCCCCCAAAAAACCCCCAAAAGTACCTCAACAACACAAACCCGTGGGTCCAACAAATTCCAAGCTGCACCAAATACCCCAAAAACTGCCAACAACCCCCAAAAAGTATCCCCAAAAAACTTAAAAAGTGTGCAAAAACAAAACCCCTGCGGGGCTCCCCCCAAACCCCCCACACAGTTGCTCAACAACAAACCGCTCCCAACCACCACCACGCTGCTCCAACTACCCCCAAAGCTGCTTTTCCCAAAAACAACCACGGGTGCTCCCAAAAACCCAACCCCAGTTTCTAACAAAAAAACCCCAGCTGCTTAAAAACAAACCCACGGTGCTTCAAACTACCACATTTCCAAAAACCAGGTGGCTCCAAAACTCCCCCATCTGCTCAAAAACAACCATTTGCTGCTAAGAAAAATACCCCCCAGCTTTCTCAAAATTCCCCCACAGGGTGCTCCAACAAACTACCACGGGCCCCCAAATAAAAAAACCCCTGCCTTTCCCAAAACAACCCCTGCTGTTCCCAACCCCCCAAACCCCTGCTGCTCAAACTTTCCCCACCCGCTGCCCCCAACCAAACCCCTTTCAGTGCTCCAAACAACCACCAAAAGCGCTTCCAAATACCACCCCAAATGCTTCCAAAAAACAACACTGCTTCTCAACCACCCCCAAATGTGCTCCAAATACATACCCGTGCTCCAAAAAACCCCAACGCTTTCTCCAAAACTAAAAAGTGCTCCAAAAACTACCACAGGGTCACCAATACCACCACAGCCCGCCCAAACCCCAAAACAGGGGGGCCCCCAACAAATAAAAAAATGCTTGGGGGAAACCCCAACCACCTGCTGCTCCAACCCAACCCCAGTGCCCCCAAAAAACAAACCAAAGCTCCAAACCCCCCACCCCCCCGCTGCTCCAAATACCACCACGCTGGTCCAACAACAACCCAGTGCTCCCAAAAAACAACCACAGCTGTCCAAAAAAAAAAACCAAAGTGCTAACAACCACACCGCTGCTTTTAAAAAACTACACAGTTCTCCCCAAAACCACTGCTTCTCCCAAAACTACCACAATCTGCTCCAAAAACAAAACCCTTGCTGCTCAAACAACACCACCCGCTGCTCCCCAAAATACCCCCAAGTGGGCCCCCCAAAATACCACGGTGTTTCCCCAAATACCAACCCCCAGCTGTCCCAAAAAAATACCCAAATGCTCCAACTCCCCCCAAAAAATGCCCCCAACGCCCCACAAGGGTCCCACCAAATACCCCGGCTGCTCCAACTACCCCACGGGCTCCAAAAATACTACCACAGCTGCTCCCTACCACCACAGTGCTAAAAAACTAACGGCTGCCCAACTACCCCCAAAAGGTGCTCAAAATTTCTTCCCCCCAGCTGCTTTCCAAAATACCCCCACAGCTGCTCCCAAAAAACCCCAACAGCTGCTTTCCCCAAAAAATACCACAGCTGCTCAAACCCAAAAAACCAAGTGCGGGCCCCCAAAATACACAGCTGCTCTAACAACAACCACAGTGCTCCAACAAAAACCCCAAAAAACTGCTGCCCAAAAACTACCCCAAAACTTCTCCCAAAAAACCAAGCGTCCCAAAACTACCACAATTTTGTAAAAAAACAAAAATGTGCTCAGACAAAACCCCAAACTGCTTCCCCAAAACTACCAAAGGGGCCCGCTCCCCAAATACACCACAGCTGCTCCCAAATATACCCCAATTGCTCCAAAATACCCACCAAACTGCTCCAAAAAGGGGGCCCCCACCGCTGTCCAAAAATACCCCGGGGGTGCTCCCAAAACCACCCAGTGCTCCCCAATACTACCACAGTGCCCCCAATACAAAAACCCCGCTTTCCCCAAAAAGCCCCCAAGTGCTCCAACAACACCACAGCAGCTCCAAATACCCAACAGCTGCGCAACAATACCACCGCTGCTCCCCAAAAACAGCCCCAGTGCTACAACTATTTTCCCGTGGGTTCCCAATAGCACCACGCTGCTCCAACAACAACCACAGAGCTCCAAAAAACCCCACCCGTGCTCCCCAAAAATAACCCCAGGTTTCCAACAAAAACCCCCGCTGCTCCAAAAAACAAAAAACTGCTGCTCCCAAAAACTACCCCCAAACTGCTTTCCCAAATCCTTTCCCCAGGGTTTCTCCAAAAAACAACCACTGCTGCTCCCAAAAACAAACCCCTGCTGCTCCAAAAACCCCCCCCAAAAGCTGCTCCAAAATACCACCAAGCTGCTCCAAAAAACAAACCCCTGCTGCTCCAACCCCACCACCCGCTGCCCCAACTACCACCAAGTGCTCCCCCCCAAACCCCCACAGCTGGGTCCAACAAACAAACCCCAGCAGCCTTTCCAAAAACCACAGCTGCTCCAAAAAACAAAACCCAGCTTGCTCCAAAACTACCCACGCTGCCAAACAAACAACCAAAAAGTGCCCAAAAAACCACCCAGCTGTGCAACAACTACCAAGCTGTTTTCCCAAAAAAAACCCCAGTGCTCCAAAACTACCACAGTGCCCAAAATACCCCCACAGCTGCTCCAACCAAAAACCACCGTGCTCGACAAAATACCACAGCTGCTCCAATACCCCCCAAAAATGCCCCCAAACTACCAGGCGCTCCCAAATACCAACCCAGCTTTCCCCCAAAAACTAAACCCCAGCTGCTCCAATACCCCCACAGCTGCTCAAAAAAACAAAAACCCCCTGCTGCTCCCAAACCCCCACCAATGGGTGCTCAAACTACCCCCAAAGCTGTTCCAAACCCCCACTAAAGCTGCTTTTAAAAAACCACCCCAGTGCCTTTCCCAAATACCCCCCACAGGGTTTTCCAACAACAACCACTGCTGCTACCAACCCCCACCTGCTGCCAACTACCCCTACAGCCCTTTTTAAAAACCCAAACGTACTCCAACAACTACAAAGCTGTCCAAAAAACTACCCCAGCGGGACCAACAAAACCACAGTGCTCCCAAAAACCACAACGCTAAACCCAAAAACTAAAAAGCTGCTGCAAACCAAAAAACTGCTGCTCCAAACCCCCCACCCCAGGGTGCTCCCAAAAACAACCAGGCTCGAACCCCCAACCGCTGCTCCCAAAATAACCCCCACAGCTGCTCCAAAAAAACCCCAAAATGCTCCCAACAAAAAACCCAGCTGTCCAAAAAACCAAAACCAAACGCTGCAAAAAACACCCACAGTTCTCCAACAACCACAGCGCTCAACAATACCAATCTGCTCCAACTTTCCCCCACAGGGTGCTCCCAAATACCACTGCTGCCCCCCAACACCAAACCCCTGCTTTTCCCAAATACCCCTTTCAGCTGCTCCAACAACCACAACAGTACTAACAATAAAACAGCTGTCCAACAACTTCCACAGCTGCACCAACTTTTACCCCAGTGCTCCCAAAAACCCCAAAAAGCTTTTCCAAAAAATACAACAGCTGCTGCAAAAACAACCATGCTGCTCAAACCCCCCACCCAGCTGGGTTCCAAAAAACAAAACCCCTTTCTCCAACCACCACCCCAGCTGCCCCAATACCCCCAAGCTGCCCCCAAAAAAAAACCACAGCTGCTCAACCCCAAAAACCACAGCCGGCTCCAACAACAACCACCCGGCCCCCAAAAACCCCCCAAAAAAACTGCTGCAAAACTACCCCAGTTCTCCAACAACCCAGTGCTCCCCAAAAATTTCCAAAATCGTCAACAAAAACAAACCCTGGTTTAGACAACTACCCCCAGCTGCTCAACTACCACCACAGTGCTCCAAAACCCACCACGGTGCCCCCAAAATACCACCCCAGCTGCTCCAAACACTACCACAGCTGCTCCCCAAACAACCCCCAAAGCGCTCCAAAAAGCCCCACAGCTGCTCCAAAACTACCCCGGGTGCTCCAAAATACCACACCCGCTGTTTCCCAAATATCCACAGTTTTCCAACTACCCCCAGCTGCTCCAACAGCCCCCAGCTGCTTTCCAAAAAAATACCACGGGTGCTCCAAATAAACCCCCACAGCTGCCCAACTACTAACCCCAGCCCGCCCAACTACCACCACAGCTGCTCCAACAACCCCAACAGCTGCTGCAAAAAACTACACAGCTGCTCCCAACATACCACAGTGGGTCCAACAAATTTCACATGCCCCCAAAAACAACCCAGTGCCCCCAAAAAAACCCCAACGCTGCGAATAAACTAACCCCAGCTTCTCCCCAAAAACCACAGCTGCTCCAAAAAAACAAACCCCAAACTGCTCCCAAAAAAAACAATTTTTAAAACAAAAACCCCGTGCTTTCCCAAAAACTACCCCGGCTGCTCCAATACCAAAACCCAAATGTCCCAAATACTACACAGCTGTCCAACTACCACCACAGCTGCTTTCCCAAAAGGCCCCCACAGTGCTTTCCCAAAGGTACCGGTGCTCCAAAAAAACCCCCACAAACTGCCTTTCCCAAACTTCCACAGCTGCTCCAACTACACCACAGTGCCCCCAACAGCCCCCCACAGCTGCTCCAAAACTACCAAAAGCAGCTCCAACAACCCCAAACAGCTGCCCGCAAAAAAAAATACCAAAAGCTGCTCCAAACAACAGCCAAAAGTGCCTCCAACAACTATACAAACGGGTCCCAAATAGCACCACAGCTGCTCCAACAACAAAAAAAGCAGCTCCAACAACCACACCAGCTTGCTCCAACAATTCCCCCAAAAGGGTTTTCAACAACAAACCCCTAGCTTTCTCCAAAAAACCCAACCACTGCTGCTCCCCAACCCCCACCCCAGCTGCTTCCCAAATACCACCCGTTTCTCAACAACAACATGTTTCCAACCCCCACCAAGCTGCTCCAACTACAACCCCAAACTGCTTCCCAACAACCCCCACAGCTGCTCCAACAAAAAACCACAGCAGCTCCAACAAAACCCCAGTGTCCCAACAACCACAGTGCTCCAACAACTACCCCAGCTGCTCCAACAACAACCCCAGTGCTCCAACAAACCCCACCAGTTTCTGCAAAAAACTACCCCAGCTCCAACCCAAACCCAGGCTCCCCAAAATACCACAGCTGCTCAACCCACCCCCAAAAGGGCCCCAACAAAAACCACTGGGGCTCAGCAATTTCCCCCAAATGGGTCCAATACCAACTAGTGCTTTTCCCAACTACCACAGCTGCTCCAACTACCACCACAGCTGCTCCCACAACTACCACAGCTGCTCCAACAACCACCACAGCTGCTCCAACAACCACCACAGCTGCTCCAACAACCACAACAGCTGCACCCACAACTACCACAGCTGCTCCAACAACCACAGCTGCACCAACAACTACCACAGCTGCTCCAACCACCACCACAGCTGCTCCAACAACCACAACAGCTGCTCCCACAACTACCACAGCTGCTCCAACAACCACCACAGCTGCTCCAACAACCACAACAGCTGCTCCAACAACTACCACAGCTGCTCCAACAACCACAACAGCTGCTCCCACAACTACCACAGCTGCTCCAACAACCACAACAGCTGCTCCAACAACTACCACAGCTGCTCCAACCACCACCACAGCTGCTCCAACCACCACCACAGCTGCTCCAACAACTACCACAGCTGCTCCAACAACCACAACAGCTGCTCCAACAACTACCACAGCTGCTCCAACAACCACAACAGCTGCTCCAACAACTACCACAGCTGCTCCAACAACCACCACAGCTGCTCCAACAACCACAGCTGCTCCAACAACCACCACAGCTGCTCCAACAACTACAACAGCTGCTCCCACAACTACCACAGCTGCTCCAACAACCACAACAGCTGCACCCACAACTACCACAGCTGCTCCAACAACCACAGCTGCTCCCACAACTACCACAGCTGCTCCAACAACCACCACAGCTGCTCCAACAACTACCACAGCTGCTCCAACAACTACCACAGCTGCTCCAACAACCACAACAGCTGCTCCAACAACTACCACAGCTGCTCCAACAACCACAACAGCTGCACCAACAACTACCACAGCTGCTCCAACAACCACCACAGCTGCTCCAACAACTACCACAGCTGCTCCAACAACCACAACAGCTGCTCCCACAACTACCACAGCTGCTCCAACAACCACAGCTGCTCCAACAACTACCACAGCTGCTCCAACAACCACCACAGCTGCTCCAACCACCACAGCTGCTCCCACAACTACCACAGCTGCTCCAACAACCACAACAGCTGCACCCACAACTACCACAGCTGCTCCAACAACCACAACAGCTGCTCCCACAACTACCACAGCTGCTCCAACAACTACCACAGCTGCTCCAACAACTACAACAGCTGCTCCAACAACTACCACAGCTGCTCCAACCACCACCACAGCTGCTCCAACAACCACAACAGCTGCTCCCACAACTACCACAGCTGCTCCAACAACCACAACAGCTGCTCCAACAACTACCACAGCTGCTCCAACAACCACCACAGCTGCTCCAACAACTACCACAGCTGCTCCAACAACCACAGCTGCTCCAACAACTACCACAGCTGCTCCAACAACTACAACAGCTGCTCCCACAACTACCACAGCTGCTCCAACAACCACAACAGCTGCTCCCACAACTACCACAGCTGCTCCAACAACCACAGCTGCTCCAACAACTACCACAGCTGCTCCAACAACCACCACAGCTGCTCCAACTACAACAGCTGCTCCCACAACTACCACAGCTGCTCCAACAACCACAACAGCTGCTCCCACAACTACCACAGCTGCTCCAACAACCACCACAGCTGCTCCAACAACTACCACAGCTGCTCCAACAACCACAACAGCTGCTCCAACAACTACAACAGCTGCTCCAACAACCACAACAGCTGCTCCAACAACTACCACAGCTGCTCCAACCACAACAGCTGCTCCCACAACTACCACAGCTGCTCCAACAACCACCACAGCTGCTCCAACAACCACCACAGCTGCTCCCACAACTACCACAGCTGCTCCAACAACCACCACAGCTGCTCCCACAACTACCACAGCTGCTCCAACAACTACCACAGCTGCTCCAACAACCACAACAGCTGCTCCCACAACTACCACAGCTGCTCCAACAACCACAACAGCTGCTCCAACAACTACCACAGCTGCTCCAACCACCACCACCACAGCTGCTCCAACAACCACCACAGCTGCTCCAACAACCACCACAGCTGCTCCAACAACCACAACAGCTGCTCCCACAACTACCACAGCTGCTCCAACAACCACCACAGCTGCTCCAACAACTACCACAGCTGCTCCAACAACTACCACAGCTGCTCCAACAACCACAGCTGCTCCAACAACTACCACAGCTGCTCCAACAACTACCACAGCTGCTCCAACAACCACCACAGCTGCTCCAACAACCACAACAGCTGCACCCACAACTACCACAGCTGCTCCAACTACAACAGCTGCACCAACAACTACCACAGCTGCTCCAACAACCACCACAGCTGCTCCAACAACCACAACAGCTGCTCCCACAACTACCACAGCTGCTCCAACAACCACAACAGCTGCTCCAACAACTACCACAGCTGCTCCAACAACCACAACAGCTGCTCCAACAACTACCACAGCTGCTCCAACAACCACAACAGCTGCTCCAACAACTACCACAGCTGCTCCAACAACCACAACAGCTGCACCCACAACTACCACAGCTGCTCCAACAACCACAGCTGCTCCCACAACTACCACAGCTGCTCCAACAACCACCACAGCTGCTCCAACAACCACAACAGCTGCTCCCACAACTACCACAGCTGCTCCAACAACCACAACAGCTGCACCAACAACTACCACAGCTGCTCCAACAACCACAACAGCTGCTCCAACAACTACCACAGCTGCTCCAACAACCACCACAGCTGCTCCAACAACTACCACAGCTGCTCCAACAACCACCACAGCTGCTCCAACCACCACCACAGCTGCTCCAACAACCACCACAGCTGCTCCAACAACCACCACAGCTGCTCCAACAACCACCACAGCTGCTCCAACAACCACCACAGCTGCTCCAACAACTACAACAGCTGCTCCAACAACTACCACAGCTGCTCCAACCACCACCACAGCTGCTCCAACCACCACCACAGCTGCTCCAACCACAACAGCTGCTCCCACAACTACCACAGCTGCTCCAACAACCACCACAGCTGCTCCAACAACCACCACAGCTGCTCCAACAACCACCACAGCTGCTCCAACAACCACAACAGCTGCTCCAACAACTACCACAGCTGCTCCAACAACTACAACAGCTGCTCCCACAACTACCACAGCTGCTCCAACAACCACCACAGCTGCTCCCACAACTACCACAGCTGCTCCAACAACTACCACAGCTGCTCCAACAACCACAACAGCTGCTCCCACAACTACCACAGCTGCTCCAACAACTACCACAGCTGCTCCAACAACCACAGCTGCTCCAACAACTACCACAGCTGCTCCAACAACTACCACAGCTGCTCCAACAACCACAACAGCTGCTCCCACAACTACCACAGCTGCTCCAACAACCACCACAGCTGCTCCAACCACCACCACAGCTGCTCCAACCACCACCACAGCTGCTCCAACAACCACAACAGCTGCTCCCACAACTACCACAGCTGCTCCAACAACCACAACAGCTGCACCAACAACTACCACAGCTGCTCCAACAACTACAACAGCTGCTCCAACAACTACAACAGCTGCTCCGACCACTACCACAGCTGCTCCAACAACCACAACAGCTGCTCCAACAACTACCACAGCTGCTCCAACAACTACAACAGCTGCTCCCACAACTACCACAGCTGCTCCAACAACCACAACAGCTGCACCAACAACTACCACAGCTGCTCCAACCACCACCACAGCTGCTCCCACAACTACCACAGCTGCTCCAACAACTACCACAGCTGCTCCAACAACTACCACAGCTGCTCCAACCACTACAACAGCTGCTCCAACCACCACCACAGCTGCTCCAACCACCACAGCTGCTCCAACAACCACCACAGCTGCTCCAACAACAACCACAGCTGCTCCAACAACCACCACAGCTGCTCCAACAACTACAACAGCTGCTCCCACAACTACCACAGCTGCTCCAACAACCACCACAGCTGCTCCAACAACCACCACAGCTGCTCCAACTACCACAGCTGCTCCAACAACTACCACAGCTGCTCCAACCACCACCACAGCTGCTCCAACCACCACCACAGCTGCTCCAACAACCACAACAGCTGCTCCCACAACTACCACAGCTGCTCCAACAACCACAACAGCTGCACCCACAACTACCACAGCTGCTCCAACCACAGCTGCTCCAACAACCACAACAGCTGCTCCAACAACTACCACAGCTGCTCCAACAACTACCACAGCTGCTCCAACCACCACCACAGCTGCTCCAACTACCACAGCTGCTCCAACAACTACCACAGCTGCTCCAACAACCACAGCTGCTCCAACAACTACCACAGCTGCTCCAACAACTACCACAGCTGCTCCAACAACCACAACAGCTGCTCCCACAACTACCACAGCTGCTCCAACAACCACCACAGCTGCACCCACAACTACCACAGCTGCTCCAACAACCACAACAGCTGCTCCAACAACCACCACAGCTGCTCCAACAACTACCACAGCTGCTCCAACAACAACAGCTGCTCCAACAACTACAACAGCTGCTCCCACAACTACCACAGCTGCTCCAACAACCACAACAGCTGCTCCAACAACTACCACAGCTGCTCCAACAACCACCACAGCTGCTCCAACAACAACAGCTGCTCCCACAACTACCACAGCTGCTCCAACAACCACAACAGCTGCACCCACAACTACCACAGCTGCTCCAACCACCACCACAGCTGCTCCAACTACAACAGCTGCTCCCACAACTACCACAGCTGCTCCAACAACCACAACAGCTGCTCCCACAACTACCACAGCTGCTCCAACAACTACCACAGCTGCTCCAACAACTACAACAGCTGCTCCCACAACTACCACAGCTGCTCCAACAACTACAACAGCTGCACCCACAACTACCACAGCTGCTCCAACAACCACCACAGCTGCTCCAACAACCACCACAGCTGCTCCAACCACAACAGCTGCTCCCACAACTACCACAGCTGCTCCAACAACCACAACAGCTGCACCCACAACTACCACAGCTGCTCCAACCACCACCACAGCTGCTCCAACAACCACATTTGCTCCAACTACCACAACTGCTACTCCCACCACGGCCTCTTCAGGAGTGACCTATAGAGGAAGTTTCCTTTTAATCATAGCAGTCATTACAGCGGCTATTTCTAACTGAAAACACAACTGTAAAATGTATCAGAAAGAGTCTAAAAACTTTTCATTATTTATAATAATGTATGACTGTCTTAACCTTTTCTTTTGACTTGTATTTTTGCTTTAATGGGATACTTATATGCATGTAGATTATTCAAATTATTTATATATTTATTAGTAACGTTGCTTGCCATTAAATAACTATATCCTCATTTTAAAATAGGGTTAGCAATCATCACAAGCTGTTATATGTTTTTGCGAATGTTTTTGAAAGATGGAATTTGTTTTATATTTGTGTAATAAAAATGTGAAGAAAGGGGTCATCTTGGTTTTTATTTTTATTATACAGTCTATAACAAGAAAAAAAAGTGTCTATACTGTAGTGGTGACTGGTCCTTACGTTATTACAAAAAAGTATTAATAAGTTGTAGTAATAAAGAATACATGTAAATCTTTCAGGCTTTTGTGTGACTCATACCAGTTGATAAAGAAATGTTTTATTACAGTCAGTGCCACAGAATTACACAACAACATCAATACAGCTTTAATATCATTTAGGTTGTTTTCAGGATCATCTGGGACAGTAGCATATCATTGAATTTTTACAAAAAGAAGAGGAAAATTAAACCCTCTGCTCACCATATGTAAATTAATATATTATATAAGTGTAAGCAAAGTATAATACCAAAGAAAACTGCCTGTTATAAAATGTAGCTTTCACACAAGTTGGTAAATAGTTCAGTAAAAAAAAGTTAAATAAAAATCTTTCAAATATAAAAATTTTTGAGAAGCAATATTCATGCAAGGTCCAGGCCTTATTGGGCTCTAAGCCTTTTTTCCCTATAAACCATTAACATGACAGCCCGATATTCAACGTAGGTTATAGGAAAGAGACCAACTAAAATAAACAGTTTGTGCATGCTATTTGAGGTTCTGCTGATGGATCTGAATGTTAGGTTTGTATACGCTGCAATATTTCAGACATGGGCCATGTGTGATGTTGGGTTATTTACTGCAGCGATATATAAAGTTGGACAATCCATGGATTGTGTCCAACATCCAGCCAAAAATACACAGAGTACATATTTCTAAACTTTAAGTTCCACATGTATACATGCAAGTATTATTATAATTTTTTTTACTGTGTGCTTTTTACTAATAAATTTCACACAAAGCTGTACCCTTCTAAGACTTGCCAAAATATTTTTACATGTAATCTAAACATTTTCAAATTTTGAAGACTATGAAATATTTGAATGATGAATTCAGATACTTTCTGAATGAGCAGTTGTCCATAATGGTATTTTACATTTTGATTGAAAAACAAAAATTATTAATATTCATTAGTCAATTGACCAAATCACATTTTGGTTATTTAGTAGAAAACAAAGAAAAAAAAAACTTCTATAATAGTTGTATTACCTATATAAATTGTACTGTGGCTCACAATCTTTAAACTGAGAACAGAACATCCCTTACGGAAAGAAGAACACTGGGGATCCTGAAAAAGAGAGTAATTAACTGTTTGTGTGAGGGAAACCCTGATCTTGTTTTATTACAGTACACATGCTTCTCTATAATGTTATTGGTAGTATGTGTAGCAGCCAGTCTGATCACCAGTGTGAGTTTATAATTGATTTTTATATGGAGAATGATTGGGGTAACCTGGAAATCAGAGATGGGAAGTAACGAAGTACAAATACTTCGTTACTGTACTCAAGTAGATTTTTCTGATATTTTTACTTTACTTTACTACTTATTTTTATGGCGACTTTTTACTTCTACTCCTTACATTTTTACACAAATATCTGTACTTTCTACTCCTTACATTTTAAAAAAATTGGCTCGTTACTTTAGTTTTGAATCATTTCAATGGAGTTACCATTATTATTTTTCACGTCATCAATACCAAATTTAATCTAATTGGATGGGAATCTACGTTGCATTTGACGCACCACTACAAATGATTTAAATTAAATGAAATAAATTTACAAGCCTGTACTTTGTTACTTTTACTAGAGTAAAGAAGTTTAATCAGTACTTCCACTTTTACCAGAGTATTTTTTAACACAAGTATCTGTACTTTTAATCAAGTACGGAAAGTGAGTACTTATGCCATCTCTGCTGGAAATACAACAAGAGTGAGACAGACACTGTTGCTTGTTGCTCTTCTTACTAACACAACAGGCGGAAGTCCATATCATAATCTGTACTGTCCTCTGGCGGTAAGATGTGGTATGGCACTTATTTTTTGTCTGATCAGCAAATCTCTTTTTATCCAAGGCTGAATAGTACGTATGTGACCAAACAAAGTACCGTAGGTGTCACAAATGGAGTCCATATTTGTTTTCGAAAATAATTGAGATGATCAATGTGCATCTAGCTGATCTCTCCGGTGGTTGATGCTATAAGAATGAGTCACTTTTCAAAGAAGTACGAACAACAAAATATGAAAATAAACAATATATGTAAACAATTGAAGATTTAGTTTTATTACATTATCTTCATAATGGTTAATGGAGATTTTGCTTAAGTGCATCAGAGTGTTTTGTTTATTTTTTTTCCTAAACAGCTCATTTCA